GCTGAAGCAGTGGACAGGAAAACCCCTATCATCTTCAGTAGGAACTGGAATAGGTCCTCACGCTGTGTTTTAAAAAGGGGTTAGCTAAAAGAGATGTAACTAAAGCATTTTAAAATATATAGCACTCGGGGCTAGCTGGATTGACAGCTCACCTTGAGCAGCTAGTCCATGTTAAAATGCAGCTTGTCCTGCCTACATTATAGTATTTAAAAGACACTTCCCCATACCTACGTAAGCCCTGCAAGGGTTTACTGCACAAAAGAGAACCACAACAGGGTGCTGAGATGGTTCCATGCCCATTTTGCTCCCACTCCTTAATGTGATGTATGTCTGTGCTCCACAGGGAAAGGCAGGACTTGAAAACACAGGATGCCAAGTCCCTTAGCATCCCTGGATTTCAGCAGCTCAGCACTTCACAAGCCCCAGGTAGAGCTGCAAACAAAGAGGTAATCGGTAGCTGGGTAGTTGGTATGGGCAGTGGTACCAGAGACACTCCCACTGCAGAGCCCATCTTATGGCTCACAGAGGCCAGCATTAGGCCAGAGGTTCTCAAATTTTTTGGACTGTGGATCACATTAACATTTAAATGCACCACTACATAACCTGATAAGCAGTTCTCAGCTGAAAACACGAGAAAGGTGATAGGTTTTGGAGGACAGCTTACCTTGGCCTTAGGCTGCAGCTTGGGAACTGCTGCTTTAGACATTCAGAATGGCTGGCGCCTCAGTGTACAAGATGTATCACAACTTCATTATGGTGCTGCTCAGCACTGGTCCACACAGTGGAGATAGTGATACATCACTGTTACCTAACAGCTTATTTGGGCAGACCCCATGTTTGTACTAACTATATCAATGATTTTACCCATTTGTGAATGATCTTTACAGTAGTCCTTCATTGGTTCCTGTTCTTCAAATACTGCAGTGAACTTTACTCCAGCAAACCAGAGAGATTAAACCAAACATCTGTTTAAAACTGAACATCACATCGGGAGCCCAGACACCCCGGGGTAATCCTGCCTGCCAAACTTGCACTTTTCAAGAGGAGAGGAGGAACTCATTCCACCTGCCAAACCCTCCCTGTACATTTTCTCTTGTCTGTTATCTCCTCCCCTGCCTGCTCCTTTGTGGCAGTTGTTGCTCACCTGAAATAAAGTGCCATCAGCTCACCTTGCTTTACACTGAAGGATAAGAAGGGAAGGAAGTGAACTGAAAACATATTGGGGAGGGAGGAAGGAGAGAGAGGGACCTGCTTAGGACCTGAGCTGATGTCTCTTGGTACCTCATAGCCCTTCAACACCACTCACAGCTGATGTTCTGCACCCCCAGGCAGCAGATACACGCCAAAGTGCCCTGACAGGGAAATGCTATTGCAAGTCCCAAGGGGACTAAGCAGCTCATTAAGTTAACCCACCCACCTAAGCCATATCCAGCAGCAGTCCCATAATCAAACTGTCCTCACCATGCTGCCAAACTCACGTTCTCCTACACCTTTATTGGATTTTTATCACTCTGCAGTGGAAACGGTGACCTCCCTGTGACTCTTTAGGTTTGTCAAGTGTGCTCCACATCTCCTTGTGACAGCCCAGAGCTGGCCCTGTGGGCCTGGCTGCCCCTGGGGTTAAGCCTGTCTCCAACCAGGGCCTGTGCAATCACCCATGGACATCTTTAGGCTTTGCTCCCAGCTGTTTTCATCTGCTCCCCTAAAAGCTTCAGTGTTTACAGTTACACAAGGTGGGAGAGATCGGGACCACCCCACACCACTGTGCAATGAAGCCTTGTTTCAGTGGGGAAGGAACGCATTTTCCCAACCAGAGGCATCAGATGGCTTTTCCAGTTTCCCCATCCTGCCCCCCGCTCCCCACACACACGGTGGGTGCTGCCACGCAACAGAGGTTGCTCAGTGGAAGTCTTGGGATGCCGATGTTTTCATCATCCCCTGAATCTTCCAAAGTTGGCTACAGATCAGCTCAGTTTGCACAATTAAAAACAACAGAAAACAAAATAACCCCAGACCAAACCAATTCAAACGAAACCCCCAACAATCCAAGGATGGGGAGATATCCAACTCTGTTTGCTTTTTTCAGATGGAACAACCAAAGCTCCAGACTATACAAGCCCATTCACTGGGGGTTTCCGAACAACTCATCAAGTTCTTGAATCCACTCATCCCCTGGTCCGCTCTTAATGATGGAGTCCACAAGGTCTGCGCCCTCTGCTAAACTGGAGAATGACCCCCCTGCTCCTTCATTACTGTAATTGTAAGATAAGTCCTGAGTGGGATTCCTCTCGTAGGCCTGCCCTTGGCCGCTCTGAGCAAAGTTACCACCCGGCATTTGCTGCGTTGGAGGCTGGCTAAAGCCAGACATTGTGGGGACCCCTTGGCTTATTGCAGGCATCACCATCGGCCTGGCCTGGCCGGCGCCTTGTTGCCCAGGTAGTGGTTGCAGCAGTTGTCTCCCCATTGCTGGGTTCAGGGCTCTTACTGTTCCGCTCGTGTCCACAACTGTCTGATTAAGCCCTTGTGGGAAATGGTGCTTGGACAGCCGTGGCTGCCCAGGCTGCATCGGGTATGTTGTGCCATTATTGAAGGGCCCCATTTCACTGCTAGTCCTTCCAGGTATACCTTGTAAGCCTCGCTGCTGCCAGTTTTGTGTTCCCTGAGGGACAGTCCCCATCAGGTTTTGAAGTCGTGGTGCTTGCGGCCTGGGTAAGACCTGGCCTACAGCTCCTTTCATCTGCTGCTGGTGCTGGGGAAGAGCAGAGTTTACCAGCATGTTCTGACCAAAATTGCCAACCATTCCCACAGCTTGTCCGGAGGCAGGCTGCCTTGTTCCCTGGCCTGTGTTATGTGCCATGTTCATGCCACTTTGGTTTGGGTGCTGCAACATTTGGCTCATCCCTGTGCTCATACTGTACATTCCCGGCTGGCTGGAAGAGGCGTTGCTGTAAGGAGCCATGCCCATGTCTGACTGGCCCGCGGTCGTGGGCAGCGTGCTCGCATTCTGGGAGGGACCCATTGCCATCATGCTCGCGTTCTGCGCCATCATTCGGGATGTCCTCATGCTTTGGAGTGCTGCCTGGTTTCTTGCAGCTGCGATATCCTGGGGAGAACCTATACCAAAAAGGGAGGAAAGGAATTAAAAACCACAACCCTGTAAATCTTAATCAACAAGAAGAGAGAATCTGTAGGAGCCTTCTGCACCACAGTAGGATTTCAGACGGCTGTGCTTTCTGAGTGAACAAGTTATTGTTTCCCAGGAAGGTTAGCAGAGCTAGAAGGTTATCCATCCTTGGGAAGTGTGCTTGCTCTCTAATGTTAGTTGCATTTCAGAGGTGATGCATTCCCCACCTCACACTGGCTGCATCCTCTGTCCTGGCCTGCCAAGTCCCCTCTCCTTGAAGGCAAGAGTCATAACAGCTCAAGTGCTACCCTAAGCAGGAATCGCTGCTTGTGTTACATATTCAACTTGTGAAGCAGGACGCTGCTCAGCAGAGAATACCATCGATGCAGGCAAGCAGCCTAATTTCCCTTAAGACCTAAAATGAGACTGGCAAGGTTAAAACGCCAATGATTTACTCTCTAAGTAATTCTCAATTATGACAATTTAGGGATATGCACCCAAAGGGATTCATGGCTTCAGATTCTTGAAGAATTGAGGCAGCACAACTGCATGATTACAGCCATGGTTGCCTCTCTGGTAATAACTGCTCAGGTACCTGAGCTAGGCAGACACAGGAGCTGCAGGACTAAAACAGGCCTGCCTTTCCCTTACCTTGCTAATACCAGAGATTAAAGTTTTAAGAAGTGACCTGGTAGTCAAAGCCCTCTTTCAAAAGTAAACCTGAGTCTTTCTTTTTGGATGTATCTTTTCCCCCAGGGCCAGTGACAATGTGCACTCTTCTCCATGAAAAAATTGGTCCCTAAGACTTCAAAGTTGCATTTGCACTGTAATTCAGTAGCGCTTATCTTCTTCAGATAAGCTTAATTCAGCTTCTAGAAAGCAAATAAAGCTTCCAGTGGTCTTCAATGGCAGCAAAGCAGCTGAACTTCAGTTTACCATTTGAAACTCTCTCTTAAATATCTCCATTGTCTTTCAAAAATAAGCCTTGAAAATGGAAATGTCAGGCTCAGAAGGCCAATCAATTTTTTAATAGCTCAGGAGGCATAAATGAATGGATTTTCTATATCACTGTTACTGACTAAGTCCATGGAAAGAAGAAAAATTGTTTTTTGTGGACATTTACAGCAGGGAGAGTGTATTAGTGAATCGATAGCATAAGCACATTTTACTCCACCTTAGGCCAGTGATGGGAAACCAGAAAATCCTAACCTCGTTAAATTCCACACCGTGCCAGATAGCTGAACCACTCTTGTGTCTTCCTTTCAGGGGTGGGGGAAGCTATTGATTCCTGGGAAGCCAATATCCTTCTGTATTTACTGCCTTTATTTAAAAACAATCACTGGAGTTCTGATTATGCCATGGGTTCATTGTGGCCTTGAGTCACTACCATCCTCGACCACATACAATACTACGTTGATGGAGCTGCAGGAGGATGAGGCACACAGTTACACCCAGCTCACACATTACTAAATGCAAGATGTAAATGTGAGATGGTTGCTTTAACAGTCACGAACTGTGCAACAAAATCTGAGTGTTCTTAAGTCAGGCCCTGTCTGTTGTTCCGCGGTGGCAGACAGCACCCATGGAGAACAGAGAGTACTGGGCCCCATCATTTACACTGGCTTGGCTTCTGTGAGAAATGGGAATGAAGAAAGGAAGTGCCATTACTCCAGTTTTGCACATAATGCACAGCATGGCTACACTGCCTTTCTGCCCAGCAGGATAAGCTTCCAGAGGATGCTTTTAGCACCAATGTATAGATAAATGAAACATTTCGTAGCATGAAGAGACACTATCTGGATCTTGCATCTCTGGATGGGGCAAATGGAATGGCAGCTTTTACTATTTCCATGATAGCAAACTGTTTCCATAATGATTGGCACTGGGGTCCCCTTGACTTTTGTTCATTTAGATCACCTCCTTCCCCCATGATTAGAGGCAGTCTCATTTTACAGTGCCTCCAGCAAGTGCTGAAGACACAGGTGATGTTAAACCCTTACATAATGCATCTCTAGCTACTTTTAAATTGAAAATGGCAGTTGAACACTTCCAAAGGAGTCACTACCAGCAAGTAGTCCGTGTACTAGTTCCATTAACTATCGTGTTTGGCATAAGAGACAAGAGATCGGACAAGGAGTAGTTAAAAGAGAGATGCAACAGATTTTAAGACTTTGGGCCACCTTCTGGTCTCATTTGCACATAACCTACTGCACTGGATTACATCCTTGTGACTAAATAGGAAAAATAGTGAAATATTTATATTTAAATCGGCTCATTTATGAAAATTAATTCCTTGCTCTGTCAGATTAGCCTAAACTCTTCTACATTTCTTTTAAATAATACATATGAAGGCAAGGTTTCAAAGAAGCATTAATGCAGAAGGATTTTACACCTGCATCTCAACGTGTGGCAGCGTGCACATACATGTGGATTTTGCAAAGGGATTATTAGGGGGAAAAAAATGATGTTATACAGAATTTATGCTGCCAAAGATGAAACTGGGGAGGCGATTAGAAGGAGCCACCCTGACGTTTACTGGCAGAAGACGTGACTGCCTGTTGGCTTCCCGGGTAGGAGAGCTGCGATCCGCTTGCCTCCCTTGTTTTCTCTTGCAGTCACATGACACTACCATGACACAGCGCAGGTGCACGTTTGCTTCATGTCTGTTTAGAATCCGTGCTTGGTGAGGACATTCAGCTGATGCTTTGCACCTAAAAAGCTCAGAATTACCTTATTTTTCTAAGCCAAAATGACTGTACTTACATTCTTCAGTTATCTGTGAACACACTCAATACTCGCTTTTTTGAGTTCACTAAAATCCTTCATTTACATGCCAGGTATTTCACTGTGTTTCCCACAGCTGACATTTATCAGTCACTTCTCCAGATATGGATGACCTCTCTGAAACTCTCTGCTCATCAAATAAGATAAAGTGGGGAACGAAGAGGGGTAAAACCAAGATACAGTGAGAGACCCTAGCTGGGATAGAAAAAGAGCGTAATGAGAGTTGAGGCAAACAAGATAAATCCACAGAATCCAGGTGTCAAAAAGGCAAAACAAATGTCAAATAAAAACTGCAGCTTCCGCTGAGGGGAGCAGAGAGGAAATTAGAAACTTAACTAAACACACAAACCTGGGCATTCCTCTTTAGTAATGCATGTGGTACGTGCCAAGTGTGCCACGGCCTGTCTTCCTGTTTTGGCACACTGCTTAAACCCCGGTGCCCACAAAACACATGAGCTCTCATGTGCCTGCTACAGTAGCACTATGTTGGCTCCAGTATAGGAAAAAGTATTTGACTTTTACCTTGGAACTGATTGACCTGTTGCACTGGATACGGGCTCCGCTGTTGCTGCAGGTGCTGCCGAGGCAAATGCGACTGCTGCTGCAACTGCTGGAAATGAATGAGGGAAAGGAAGCAGAGAGAAAAAGATGATTAATGAATTAGTGAGCTGCAAAAGGGGCTGGTGGCAAAGGTACTACAGCAGAACTGCTGCGTTTCTTATCTAGCAAGCTGCTCTGGAGAGACAACCAGAGCCATTTGAAGAGTCCTCCTGAGAGCACTTGGGCTACTCAGCACACAGAATTCCTTTTGGTTCAAAAAGGAATAAGCACTAAGGCTAACATCATCTCTCCTTCCTTACAGCCACTTCATCTCAACCTCTACAGTGTGAACTTCACTGTCTTCGGGCTGAAAGAAGAGGGAGGGATTTGAATTAACTTCGCTTACTTAGGTCCAACTGAAGCCACACACCCTGTCCTTCCCCCAGCCCTGCCAAGGTGTAGGGATTTGTGTTCCTGGGACAAGACTTTCCTCCACCTCTGTACTCAAAACACTTAGCTGCAGGAAGTAATGCATCCTGACCTCAGCGCTGCAGCCTAGGACCAGCCCTGAGCCAAAACAGAAAAGGCTACTGAGGCCACTGTGCCTCAGGCAATGATATCTGGGGAGCAGGCAATTGTAAAATGCCTCCCTCCCTTGATCCAGCCCACACTGCTCCTCTGTGTTATTTGCTATGAATACTCGTGCATCTAAAACAGAATTAAGAGCTGATTATAAAAACAAAGAGTGTGTTTACCAGAGCTTTCAAAGCCTAGGGTATACTCGACTAAGCACTTACTGAAGGGACACGTCTTGGTGCTTCATCTGCAGCTGTACAAATACTGTGTCCAAAACCAAGGATGTGTAGCGGAAGTAAGAGAACAGCAAAGATGGGAAAGAAGCAAGTACTAATCCCTGTGTTCATAAATATGTGTTATCAAAAAGGTAAAGGGAACCTGGTTAGGCACAAAACACCCAAAAGTTAGGAGCCCGAGGACTGTGACTCTGTTACTTCTCATCTACATCAGCACGCTTGCCAGCCTTACCCTTGTGTTTTCTTCCACACTTTAAGGTTTGCCTCCAGCAGCCAAGTCCATGACTGGCCCTTGGGTTTATGCCTGTGAATGGGCCTCATCCATGATGGGGCATCATCTAGTTTCACCCCCCTGCCACAGGCAGGGACACCTTCCACTAGACCAGGTTGCTCCAAGCCCCTGTGTCCAACCTGGCCTTGAACACTGCCAGGGATGGGGCAGCCACAGCTTCTCTGGGCACCCTGTGCCAGCGCCTCAGCACCCTCACAGGGAAGATTTTTTTTTCTAATGTCTAATCTAAATCTACCTCCTTCCAGTTTAAAGCCATCCTCCCTTGGAGCTAACTTTTCCAGTATCTAAAATCCCATGTGACTGTCAAGCCCACCCCTGGGAACATGGGGTAGTATTCACCAAACTAACAGTAGGACTGAGACAGACACCTCTTTGAAAACAACTGCTAATATACTACAATGGGAGCTACAGAGAGAGCACTACGAAGCACAGAAGGGAGCGCTGGCATTGCACTGTCGGGAGTGCTCATGCTCTCACCCTAGTGTGCACTGCGGCACCCAAGACAAACGGGTACTGTACCTGCTCCGCCAGGATCTGCTGCTGCTGCTGCTGCCTTTGCTCTCGTAGAAACTGTTGTTTCTGCTGTTCTATCACATGGAGCTGGGCCCTCTGCTCAATCAGCATCTGCTTCATGATGGCTGCTTGAGGTTGGTTTCCTAGGAAGGGACCTCCAGAGCTCGTGCCTGTGACCACGCTGCTGGAGCCCGGTGGGACAGAAGGCTGCATAGGCCCCGTGGTCCGGGACAACCCCACTTGATGCTGCTCCTGTGCAAAGAGAGAGAGAAGGCCTCATTAGTCATGGTGTTCCATAGGCAAGGTAAATTAAGGCTCCTTAACAACAAGCACTGAGTTTATGGGTGAAGACTAGAGCTTGAAGAAAATAACAGTCCTTGGGAAGATGCTTATGACCAAGCCAAGGGCTGTTCCCCACAGTGAGTGGCAGGTTCTTCTTCTCTCCTGGAACACAAAGTCCCCTCAGATAAACCAAAAGCACTTTGAGGCTCATAAATAACACCATGATAAAGCTGGGTACTAGGTTTATCTTTATTCAGGATACGTAACTTCAGAGTCATGTTTTCCTAAACTTTTTCTCCTCCATCATGGGGACAAGTGTGTTTTCTCTCACCTTCCATTTCCTTTTCTCCATAGTGTCAGTTTCACACAGTACTCTGGACTGAGGAGCTGAGGTGTTAGACACACGAAAGGAATAGCAGGAGCTGGCAGCATTAATTCCCCCTGTATTGCACCAGAATCCCCGCATTTAACCACATCATGTGTTTATTTAAGATTTCCATCCTGCAGCAATGGACCAACAACACGTGACCGAAAGGATGCAGATGGGTGATGCCCCAGACACCTTCGCCTGCACCCACCCTTCTTTCTCTTGATGTTTCTAATCCAATTTGCTGCCTTTTAGCGCTGGGAAAACGAAGCGACACAAGGCCAGGGGTGATCTCACACCCTCCGCCCCCCACCCGGGGCTG